TACAACAGCGGGGATTCGCTAGTGGTCACCCACCTAACTACTAATCCGCCGGTATCATGCTTGTATATGGCTGAGCGGACGGGAAGCCTAATTTTCATGATCCTATGGTCGTATGTGAAGGAACGGGTGGTTTTGGCGTAATATAAAGCCATTGCAAACCCAGGATACAGCAAGCCAATGGAAACAAGCTCAGCCAGATCACCGGCTAAGCGTTGTGTTATTGACAAGAGCGCGAACTTTGATAACGGTCAGACCTGATCTAGGACGCAATAAGATCTGAAGGTGTGTGTCGCAGGCCAAACGCTGTCGGAAACGTTGTTATTAATAACCTCGTGCGATGACCTTTATACAAGCTCAACTACGAGGTTACGAACAATACAATGCGCACGCTCTATTTCAGCTATTCTGTCTACAATACCCGCACCCGACCGTGCGACACATGTACGACGGGACATCCTAGAGTTCAAACTACCTAGGTAGCTCTGCCTCAATAACACTTTCTACAGAGTGAGGTGGTCTCCATATCTTAAGCACCTTTAATCCTACACTCTCCACCAGCGCCCGCCATTCAGCCTCCGTCCTCTCCTTCGCACCAAGACAAGCCATCATGGTGATATCAGACGTTGTCACACGAGCGAGCGGCTTGACCGAGCTAACCAAACTTTCATGAACGAGAAGCTTCGAATATCCGGGTTCCATAGCTTCGGCAAGGTGAGAAAGGATCTGCTTCGCCTGTGCGTCTTCCCAGTCGTGCAGCACGTTGTGCATGAAGTAGGCACGGGCACCTTTCACTGGCTGTGGTTTAAAAAAGTCATGAGGGTGGATAGAGATAGTGTCGTCAATAGTCAACTCCTTGAGGATATCGGGCAGGTCTTGGAGCACCAGACTGCGCTCAGGGATATCAGGGTGGCGCAGATGGAATTTGATCAGGTCGTGGCCCTTGCTACCACCGACATCGACGACAAGGGGCCGGTCAGGCTTGGACTCTTTCACAAGAGTCTCAGTTGGGTAAACATCAACCCAGGGCGTCAAGTTATGCTTGGAGTGACTCTCCATGGCATCATTAAATTCCCTTGCGGCGGCAGGGTTCGCGCCAAGGGACTGGAACAGATTCTCATCTGAGCCCCTCATGAACTGCCAGTTGCAGTCGTTGGGGTTAGTAGGGACTTTGTATCCCGTCTTCTTGAGGTAGGCTGGCAAAGTCCTGAACATGGGGGAATTGACGAAGCCATAAAATTCACCATAGACGTTGGCGAGGGCCTGATCCTCGGCGAGAGCGCGTACCCACGGTGTAGGCTTATAGGTATCCTCGGCGGTCTCGATGACAAGATTCTGCCCAGAAATTTGCCGAATCATGCGTCCTGCATTGCTGTCAGAATGCTCCTCAAGAGTTAAGCAGAACGGATATGTAACCTACGGATAAGTACTACATCGACACCCGTTAACTCAGCCAGTTCCGCGCACGTTTTCTCTCCGCCTCCGGTCTTGATCCATTTGCTGAAGACACCCGCGTCAATCAACGTCTTGATGCATGCATTGGTGGCCGGGTTGACCCAACAGTGCTGCCAAACAATGTCCCACGGCTTGTGTACTTTGCTCAAGGCCAGGGTCAGCGCGTCCATGGCACGGACGCGCTCTGCTTCGCTAGCGAAGGAGTTCGCGTCAAGGCCTTCCAGGGCTCCGACAAGTTGGTCTGCTGATGCCATGTTGGAAATAGGAATTAATTTTTGGGGAAAGATGCAGGAACAACGGGAACGATACGCCGTCTACTATTTGACAAAGAGTAATGCTGTTATCTACCGTAAATCGTGGCCATATCTACCGGCCGACTGGAGGTTTCCAAATACTATAGTAGTTAGTAAATTTCTTGTAACAGATAAGCGCGTACTAAGATCCATTCTTCCTCTGTGCACTTTTCCTGATACGTAAACTGACTTGAACGACACGTGATGTGGCTAAATTTCTACGGAGTAATTAGTCCCGAATCGCATCTAACAATCCGCACGATTTAATGCCACCCGGGTTGAAGTGGTTACCACTGATCAGTTGAGGACACGGTATCCGGAATTTGAGTGAGCAAGGATGTCTCAGGGGCAGACCCACCCGTTGGGCCCCCAACTTGTCACGCCGCTCTTGGCATGTAGTGCTTGGCACGCAGCCCCTCGAACTCTCGAGGGACCTTGACAAGACCTGCCTATTATAGCAGTTGAACTTTGGTATTGCTCAAGAGTCTGTATTGAGTTTCACAGTTCCTCGCCTTGATAGCATTCCAAGGTTACCTCAATAACATCATTTCAACAACATCAAAGCTTGCCCAATCGGATCATCACCACGACCCTGCTGCCCTATCGCGCGCGTAGATGCTTGAAGCAAGTACTGACCCCCACACTGATACCAAGCTACGTAGCACGATCGTCAATTGGCTTCGCCCATCGATCGCCCTTCGCGCTCGTCGTCACGTTAAACTCAAGCGTCTTGTGGATCTGGTCCGCCCGGGCGCCGTGGTAAACGAGCGGGATGTCATCGATGCTTTCACCGGTGTGGGTCGATGTCCTCTCCACGTCATCTAACTGATGCCTTAGAAGTTTTTCCCACCTTCCGCTGGTGCTGGATAGCCCTTGGTGGGCGGCGCTGCTGTGTCGTCCCTGGCTGGTGGTCCTACTACCATTGCCACTGCCACTGAGAGTCCGAACCTTGCCTCTGACCAAGCGGAAGAGCGGCCCCAGTGTCGGCAAAGAGGAGCATACCAGGAGAATACAACCCTCTCCTAAACCGAGTATATCGAGAAGCGGTACCGGGTCTAACAGAGTTAGTTCCATGCTGAGAAATATGTGGGATGAACAACTCACAAGTCGGGTTCTCAGCCAGTACTACGAAAATTTCTCCAAAGATTGTGAGTTTGTAGATGGTGAGGATGAAGGCCAGGATAGTGAGGCCCAGCGCGATCGAGACCAGGATACGGTTCTTGAGTGGCATGTTGAGGCGCATAATGAATGGGATCGGGTACACAGCGAAGAATACATCTAGGAAGGCAGAGTAGGCGGAAGTGAAATAGCCCAAATCTGACATGACCTTGACACTGGCACATTTTCCGCCCGGTATGGTTCTGTTCCAGCCAAATTCGACCGGATCGCATTGCTTGTACCACCAGATCGAGGTAGCCAATATGCAGGCCTGGGAGCTGAGCGCGAGGCCCCAGAATAGTATCGTCGTTTTGAGGCCGTAGTCCAGAATGCGCTTGAGAATAGCGATGATGGCGAACTTGGGTAGCGAAAACGTCCATATCAGTACCGAACTGATGATTACATTCCACTTGAGAGCTCGCGGTATCAATGGGGGATCGATGGCCTCCATCCTCCGTCCGAGACCGTACTGTGTGCCGATCGAGATCAGGATGCAGGTGACGAGCATCACAACGACGCAGAATACGGTGATATAGTCGTCCATTCCAAGGCCACCGCCTTTGCTGGACATGCGAGTGCCGACTCTCAACGCCACGAACACTGCAAGACAGTTAGCTGCCATTCGGCGCAACATAAGAGGGCTACTCGCCAGCTGTGACTGCGAACATAGACCAGCAAGCCCTATCAGCGATAGTGCCATAGTCTTCCACGTCCCACAGTCCCATGGTGTTGACGATTGGTGTTGCAAAGGTTTGCGGAACGTTAGACGCTCCTGGTGTGATAAAGTGGGCTCATTGTTAGATACACTGCCGTCGGATGCGTAGCATGCCGCGTAGGATTGCGCGTAGGATGCGTTCCATGTAACAGTCAGAATCCTTCGCCGGCCCCATGAAGTATCGATTTTCGCCACATAGTTGGAATGTGTTATTTAAATTGCCAATGCATACCGTGTACAGAGGATCGACATGTGATCGGAAACTCCTACAGGGGAAAATAGCAGGAAAATCATCTCGTACGGCATAATGACGGAAGTTGTTGAATGACTCAAGCGAATCAAAACACACCGATCGCCCTACCTTCTGAAAAGGTCAAGGGATTCCTACCCCAGGAGTTCCCGAAGTCCTGGCGAAACTCCGTATCAGCCCCGCGGTTCATGACTCATTTAACCGACATTCAGCTCTCTCCCAGAAATAAAGCAACATGTGACACGTTCGACACAAACACCCATATACCGCATGTGAAAGAAAGAGCATTTCGACATATCGTATAGTCAGCTGTCCGCCAAGAGGAAGCCAGAGTATGGAAACCAGCTCTCCCAAGCTAACGGCTACTGTATGAAGTTATATGCTACATCCAAGCGATCAGGTTCAACAGAGAAGGTGAATGATACAACACGGTGGGTCAGTGGCGTCAGCTCAGGCACATGTTGGTACATTGGGTACATAGGCTTGGAACCCTTGGGGCAGTAGTTAACTGCTTCAATATACACTCGAGACGTCACCTCTTTCAATAGGCGTAGAACATCGTAGTCTCAGAGTTCGAGCTCTTAATCCTCCTGTTCTCCCGCACCAACCACCAGCGCATGAACCATGCGCCAGCCGCACACATGAGTGCCATACCAGCACTCATAGCCAAGGGGAGGACGAACCGCGGCTCCGACCACTCTGGCCAGATGTACTATTTAACAGTAATTAGCTAGCATATCCAGGCGATCAAGATGCGAAACTTACGGGAGTCCAGATCAAGCTGAGTGTAGCTGCGACGTTGGCAATAGCCAGCGCCGCAGATTTCTTCTCTCTCGTTTGTCCACAGGTTGAGGACACCCATCCGAGGATAATGCTATTGACGCCATACGTGCCGATGGTAAAGACGCACATGGCGAAGTACCTCGCGCCCACGTTCATGGTCGCGCAGCCGAGCACGAAGCCAAAGACAGCCACGCCTTTGGCAATGGTAATGTGCCAGGTGCGTTCGTTGAAATGGCCGGACGATATGGCCCATGCGACGGAGAATGCGCCCGCAATTAAGTAAGGTGGGCATGTCAATACGAGTGTGACTTCTTGAGAGAAGCCGAGTGTGTTGACGATCGTTGGCATGAAGTTCTTGAACCTGCAGAGGTAGGGGTACGAAGTCAGTATATGTCTCACATGCACTTCGTACAGTCAAAACTTACCCATTGGTAGCAATGTGCCTAAACAATGTCAGAGATGGTAATTGTAGCGGGACCGATGGAACTAACAGGTGTTGCATGTAGACGAACACCCAAACTTTGGGGTCGCGGATAGCTTCCTTGAGGCCTGCGAGCATGGAGACGTCGGCGGAGTGGCCGACCGTGTCTCTCGCGACCCGAGCGTGCGCAAGTTGGCGTTCTTCGGGGTTGAGCCACCATGTGGTTAAAGGCTCGTCAGGGAGGGTAAAGCAAGCTATTACGGCAATGATGAAGGTGACGACACCCTGTATTATGAACAACCAACGCCATCCGCTTGACGTGAGGTCAGTATCTGTTTCACAAGAACTGTGTGGGGATCATACCTGATACCACGGACACCATCGAGTTTGAAGACGCCAAGCGCAATGAGTCCAGCGAATGACGACGCGAGGATGTTGCCAGAGTAGAGAATGCTGATGCGTGTCGCAATCTCCTTCCTCGTGTAGAAGATACTCAAGAGATACAACGCTCCTGGGTAGTATGGTGCCTCGACTACACCTAGGAAAAAGCGCACAAGTACGATGCCTGTGTAGTTGTGTACGATAGCTGTAAGCCCGCTTACAATCGCCCATCCCATCATACAAATTCCCATGTACCACGAAGGTTTTACTCGAGTGATGATCATGTTACTCGGTATCTGACCTAGGATATACCCGACGAAAAGAATAGAGATAGCAGTGCTGTATTGGTTGCTGGTGAGTCCAAGGTCGTCTTGGAAACCATTGAGGCGAGCGAGGGTAATGGCGTTGCGGTCCAGGTAGTTGAGCCAGTACATCAACCAAAGCATGGGCTGTATCAGGTAATTAGCCAAAATTTGGGAGGTATGGCAATAGTTGACTGACCATGATCCAGATATCCAGCTTCCTGACGAGCTTCTTCTCCTCGGGGCTCGTCTTGGCCACGGCCCCAGAGTAATCACCTTTGACCTCGACCTTCTCATACTCCGTATGCTGGCTCTGGAATTTCTCGTCGATGGGATCCATGGTGTGACCTGGCATGGGAGATCCTACGCCCTGCACGGGCTCAGATTGTGGTACGGCCATGGTATCGTCAACAGAACCTTTCAGCGTCAAAAGTAGGGCAAGAACCCAAGCTAAAGGCACTGCGAAAAAGATGCATGGCCCTATTGACGGGGCAATGATTTATAACGAATCTCTTTCATCTACCCCGCGCATCGAACACTAGTCCTTCTCCCCATGGGGTCGCCCCGGATAATGGCGTCCTCGCACCAGATATCGACATGAAAGTCAGGCTTGGGGCGCTAAGATCCCAACTTTGGTAGTCCCGCTCCGAAGCGCTGACTCGCAGTGGCGGGCCATCACCCCTCGGCGACGCCGCCCCGAGCAAGACTACCGGTGGACTGCTTGGCAACGACGCCGCTCGGCGTACCCATGCCGAAAGATGCAAATACAACTATTCTAGAGCGACCGCATGTTCCGTAAGCCGCAAGCGTGACAGGTGTGGTGATTATGGCGCCAATAATTCCAGTCAATTGATCGTGGCCAATTTCCGGCACACTCGAAACTGTCAATTGATTGCTTCACCCCGCGCAAAAGCGGGCAGCCTCATGCTAGGCCAGCTTTAGCAACGGTGGGAGCATGCTGACATCAAAAATGCGTATCCATTGTCATGTCGTTGAGCTGAGGTTCCATACCACCGTACAAGTCGAAGCTGTCGAACCACGCCTGAGAGAACCGATACACAGACATGTCGACTTGTTGTTGATCGTACATTTGTCGTAGATCATACGCAGAGCCCTTGAATTCATTCTCGATCGCCAGTGGGGATGCATTAGACACCATTCCATCGGCTCCGACAGGTTGAAGGTATTGTGCGTGCATCCAGTGAGGCTGGCCCAACTCATTCGAGTCTGTATCCGCCGCCAGCTCCGACCGATTGTTGCACTGGTGGGCACTGTCTTCTGTGCTGTTGGCCGCAGGGGTGGTGACGGCGATGGGGTGTGTGCTGAATTTGATAACGTCGATTAGGATAGCATCGCTCAGCCTGTTGAAGACATCGACGCAGCGTTGCAACGACTTCCATCTTTCCGATACCGCTACAAGGACGTTTGAGCATGTTCGTGTGTCGCTAATCACTTCCATAGTGCTTGGGTCTCTGATCAGCAGACCACCTAGTCGTTGACCTTGCTGTCTCCGAATGGCCTGGTAGTGCATCGTTACAGCGTACACATATGATAACCCTGCCATAAACAAAGCTTGTAATGAGAGCCAGCTGTGATTCAAGAGCCCCATACGATGAAGGCTAGCGTACGAGGATATGGAAGCCTGAGAGGAGGCGAAAATCGCTTGTACCGCAACTGAGTCTCTTGACGTGTCCAGTGTGGGCGACGGTCGATGGAGCATTAGCACGGCGTTATGGTATATCATCTCGAACCAGGTTGGCGAGGTGAAGCAAGATGAAGGCCTGCCTTCATCCAGAGAACCCGGATGAGCGACGGTTTCGGCATTCAGTCGCCAAACTCTGAGGTCGGCAGCGAATTCATCTCTACGGTGGCGGAGTTCCTCATCCGACTGATTTCTTCGACGGTGACTGTGCAGAGTCTGGATGATATCACCACACAGTAGGCGATACTTGATGATCTGAACGAAAATTGGTATGCGGCGGCATTTGACCAGGTGCTCGGCCATGGGCGTTCCGAGTCCAGAAAGCAGGATCTCGTCACATAGGTCAGACGGTAGTGCCGCATCTACGTCATCGTTGCGAATTGCTAGAGGTCTGCCAAGTATGTTGCTGACTATTCTAGTACGTTGTCAGCTAGTCCACCCTCTGGCATATGCTCGCGTCACAATTGCCTAACATACCTGTCCATAGCCACAATGCTCCAAAAGCAAAGCCGGGAAACTTCCTGCTGTACAAGATCGGCACTCAAGTCTGCATTACTTGTACAGTCATCTGAGCGTTTGTAAGGATATGCAGTTTCACAGTGAAGGCCAAGTTCCAGGGCAATTCTGCTTCCCACTCCTACCAGATGCCACATGCCTGTGTAATTATCAGATGGCTCTTGCGATCAGGCAAGGTCTGCTCTGATGTACGGAGGTGTAGCAACATACTGGCTGAGGTATCTTCCATGGAACTGCTCATGCGATACTGAATCAACAGGATGACTGCTTGAAGTGCACCGAGCCCGCCTTTCTCCAAGACGGTCGAGGCTCGCTTCATCGCCCGTATGTAATGAGTATGAGCACTTGGTAGCCCCTGCCAATCAGACCGGCAGATGCTGGCTGTCGCGATAGCAAGAACCATGTCGAAAATGAAGGTTTCACTAGCGGAGCGCGTGGAGGAGGTCGCGTTCGAGCTGTATATTTCCGAAAGCATCGCATTGAGAGTAGCAGGGAGGACAACAGGGTAGCGTAAGTGGTCGTGGTTGAGATAGGACAGTACAAGTCTGCTCGCTATCTGTTCAGATGGTAAGTCTCGAGCAAACTCAATAGCCGAAGCAGTCGCGTTGATAGCATCAGCGTCAACAGGTGGAGTTGTCGACGGCGTTGAAGTTTCAACGTCCACATTGGCTCTGATGAAGTTCGCGAGAAGTATGCCGCTTGAGGACCCCAGATAGTTCCTTTCTCCGGACGCATTGATCGAGAGGTAGGACACTTCACCCGCGACGTCGGTAGATGTACGACGCTGCGAAGTGCCACTGTCGTTTCTGGAATGGTTACTTTGGACATTGGGGGCGGAATTTTGGCCTGTAGAGGATACTGAGTCTGCCCTCCTTTGTTGCACAAGAGTCCTGTTCTGAACTTCTAAGCGCTTAATTCTTCGTTCAAGCGTGTCTACGTGGGCCTGGCTATAGGTGCGTGCTTTGGTCCGATCTGTATAGCGGCATTCTGATCCATTCAAGCTGCATCGTCGGCACGGGAGAAGCTTGTCGCATCGAACCTTCCTCTCATGACAGTGATCGCACCTGCACGTCGACGTTAGCGCTCTATACGCGTCGAGACGCGTTATGACCGACCGGGTAATGGGCTACGAAGACATACGCTTGCATGGCTAGGATCGTGCCCTTGCGCGTCTGAGAAGCTCGGTGCCCAGATCCGAGAGTTTCGGTGTGTGGGAGCGAGATGTGGAGTAGGAAGAGAACCGCTGGCCGAGATGTTGGCATGGTGCAAGTGCCGGCACCGGGAAGCGGGCGAGCAGTAGCGTGATTCGGCCTCGGCCCTCCACGACCGAGGATGGAGTCATTCTGCACGAACAATTACACTAGTATGATGGCGTCGATGTCGTGAGTTGAACAGTAAACACGCTCGCAATGTGCGCGACAGACTGTGGGGTAATTTACTCCCCAACGTTGACATGCGACACGCGACATCTTCCAAGGTTGTCCTCGCCCACTCACGTGCACGTGCCTGCGATGACGCAGAGCGAAATGGACCACTCACAACTTCCGCAGCCCACACACTGCAAGAACGTGCAGCGGGCTCCAAAAACCATATCGATGACCATCAATACCAAAGTCAGTAGCGAGGTCAGGAGAATATTCTGATATCAGCGCCAGGCGACAGACGGCCGGAACGTCTGGGCCGACAACAATACCTCCCTAGGTATATATTACCTGGACAGGCCTACTACTACCGCGTCTGGTCCAGCCCGTACTACCCTTGATACTTGAGTATGCAGGCTATCCTTTCTACAAAATAGAACTGGGGTAGATGGTGCCTTAGGTGTCTGCGCTACCACGAAGCTCTTCTGGCTACATCGCAATTGCGCAGGCTGCAGCGAGCCCGCCAGGGGCAAGAACCCGACAGTAGCGACATACATTACACCCGCAATTCCGCGCGACCAACGACGCGCAACTTCCTATAAACCCCGACCTTGGTTCCACTCCCGCTCACGTCTTCAACTCTTGTCAACGAAGCCCAATCCATCACCATGGTAGTCAGCCCGCTCTTAACACAGCCGATGTCCTATGAGCCCATCGAAACACGCCTTGCCGCCATGCGCGCTGCTCTATCCGAAGGCTTCTCTCCCAACGAAATGGACAGGCGCCCCCGCGGTGTAGGCCGCCCGCTAGACTGTGCAATCGAAGATGGCTGGCCTGCCGACTTTGCCCATCTTAAGCAAAATCTCCCTATCGTCCATCTGCTTCTCGAAGCCGGGGCTGATCCCAGGCTTCCTTCTCGGGATCCGCCCGGCCGCTCGCCGATTGATTCCCTAGAGGCCTGGTTCAAGCAGTATGAGATCAGCGGGCATGAATTCGGCCCTGAGCATTTGGAGCTGAAACCATTCTTTGAGAAGGCTTTAGAAGCTATGAAGGAAGTTGCTGATGAGCTTAATGGTGAGTTTGCGTTGACATAGTGTTGTGTATGTTTCTTGCTCGTTGGCTAAGCTAAAGTGCGATTAGCAAAAGACGCCGCAGAAGCAGCTGAAGCAGCCAGAAAAGCTCGTAGAGAGAGACCGTTGTTTGGTAGGCTGAAGTTTTGGTGACGCGATCGATGTAGCTGCAAGAAGTGGTAACAATGGGTTTGCGCGTTCAGCCCGCGGAACCGGCTTAGCTCTTTGCTCATGAGGCGGCACTGCAATTTATCTGGTGGCTTCAGCATGATCGAGAGCACGGGTATAGTGTGGGCAGTAAACAGAATGTAGTATCTTGTACCTGTCTCAGGACCGGAGGCGATCCGGTGACAAACTTCTAAAATCGTGACTACCAGGACGGGAAGATGGAAGACAAGAAGGCAGAAAGGCGGCAAGGGAAGGAACTGCAAAGAGCACCAATGGAGACGAATGCGATTTGTCCAATGCTCATGTGCTCTTACCTTTTGCATATCGTACGTCCTTGTCTATTTATACACGCCACATTCAGGTTGATTGGGGCTCTCCACCATACAGCGTCGTCATGTAGTGGCATTTTTCAAGATATTATACTGTACAACCCCATGGCATCCGATCAATCCTCGATATCATCATCGCTCAACGTTAGACTAGCACCTTTGTCCGCTAAACCAGCAATCGCTGTTTCCGGCTCTTGTGCCTTACTCTCAAACTTCACCCGTCCTCTCTTCTTCGGCGTCTCCAGAGTCGGTTTGTCCGTAGACCACTGCTCTTGCTCGCCAGGGCGAATATCTTCTTCAGCGTCATCTTCTTCAGTGGCACCGGAGAGAGCATTTCCGGTGAAGGCTGTGATCTTCCGGATTTCGCGCACGGTGGCTGCTGTGGATGGGTTCGGCATGCGTGATTTGCGCAAGATGGTGGTCATGTAAGGTAGACGTTCAAGAAGCATTTCGTTCCGCGCCGAGCCACCGCTTCCAAGGTGAATTGAAGCTGGCGCATCTTCTTCGGCATCTTTCGAGCCGGATGCCGATGTGGGCTGCGAGAACGAAGCGTTGCCTTTCCACGACTCGACTCCTCCGCTCGTGAAAGCCGCTTTCGATGTAGTTGACCCTGTCGAAAAGAGCTCACCGCGTTGCGCCTTTGATACCCACATCTCCAGTGAACCTTCAATTTCTTCTTGTTGTTTCCATAACCGCAGCGACGCCGGATAGTACATGACGAACGCGTTGCCTTTTGCCACTCCACCACTTGCTCCTTGGCCTTTTGTTTTGATGCCCATGATGCCTGGAGGCGGTGCTACGCGCTTAACGGGATATGGCAGGTTATACAGAAGCCCTCGTACACTCGTCTGAAAGCACATCTCGTCTTGGCGTAGATTGTCCGCACTAGTTCCTTGGAGGACCCGTCGGCCAGCGCCCGCACCAAAGCGGTCCGGCGATAGAAGGTCGGCATCGGAAAGAGCTTCTATACAGCCCTCAATAGAGTCCATGGTCTCCTCACTATCCGCAGCTCCGCAGGACAGGACATAGTTTTCATGGAGAGCAGCGACAAAGGTCTGGGTATCGGTACCCAGCTCATCGATGAGCGTGTCGACATTGACCTCCGAGGCCTTCGGTCTTCGCCTTTCTGGAAACCAGTTCGGTGGATGTGCCACGGGTGTGCTAGAGTCCTCCGGTAGACGCTTGTTGTACACAACCCTCCCAACAGCGTGGAAGATGCCGAGAGTGCTTTCGCGCTGTGTCACCATTTCGAGCGACTCTTGCTCGATCTTCGTCATCGGTATGTCTTTCGGGCCCTTCTTCTTCGTGAGGTTGACCTTCGCGCCCCAGCCTTCCGCATCATCACCTCGCAGGCAGAGGAACTCGAGGGAGGAGACAGCGCTGCGGATGTCTCCAAGTTCTGCAAGACGCTGAATTGCCTGTGGCCCTAGAGTCTTCTTGCGCCCGGATTTGCGCGCCTCCTTGACAACAATCGTTTCTAGCGCCTTTGTCATGTATGTGGGGGCGATTGGGTTGAACTCGAAAACAGACACTCCGGGATGGGTCAGAATCTCAGGGCCCAACAGCCGATGTGCAGTGAAGCTGTCGGCTGCGGCCGTGTTGGTAGACAGCAGGGTCTCGGATATTATCATTACGATTGGGGTCACTGGCTGCTCGGGATCGACCTGGGTCGAAAAGAAAGCAGTAGCTGATTGCGTATTGGCAGCAAGATAGTTGAGGACGGAGGAGCGAAAAGATTGAACGGCCGGAGAAGTACGTGTGAATGTATTCGGAAACTCCTCTACTAGGACCAGCTGCTTCTGCCTTTCAGTCTGACTGTTGGACGAAGCCGTCTGGGCACTCATTGTCGGCTCATCGAA